ACGATGTTGCCGTAAGCGGAACCATACACATTCAGTTGGTTGTGAAAGGGGGCTATTTTTAGATGAGCACATTAGCTGGTTAATAAGCTAGTCGAAGCTTGCGCCATGGGGAAGTGTAAGTTTAATGGTAATTGGATGGCTAATCCCACGTTGGCGACGTGGTTAGCACCGGTTCCAGGCAATAGGTGGAAATTATAGCTTAAATTTATTTAAAAAAATTGCTTAAATTTGGTCAAATGGCCTTAAAAAAGGTCTTAAAAAGTCTTAAATTTGGCTCCCTTAAACCTGCAGATACCCTGTGCTAGGACGCTCCAGCAGTATCACTGGTTAAGGGACTGCAACAGGAAAAAGCACTGTGGGAAGTCTTGTAGAAGGACCACCAGCGCTGAACAGGCGTGTGTGTGTGTGTGAGCGTGTATTTGGTATTTTTAACAGCCTCGTTTCGTGCCGACAGAAACACAGCTCTGTGCGGTAAGACTCGCGGTGGCGGCCTGTGTATTTACATCAACGCGAAATGGTGCAAGAACTCTGTGCTAGCTTCTAGCTATTGCTCACCGCTGGTGGAGTTTGTGACCGTTAGATGCAGACCTTTTTATTTACCACGGGAATTCACCACTGTTTTTATTGGAGTGTACATTCCACCTAGCGCTAATGCTAAGGAAGCGTTGGGAGAACTGTACACAAACATCAGTGAACTGCAAAACACACATCCGGATGGACTGTTCATTGTTGCTGGAGATTTTAACCATGCAAACCTCCAGTCAGTGCTTCCTAGATTCCATCAGTATGTGGACTTTGCCATCTCCACTGCACTCCATCTTGCCCTCACACATCTGGACAAGAAGGACACACACGTTCGGATGCTGTACATAGATTTCAGCTCAGCGTTCAACACGATCATCCCCCAACAACTGATAGGAAAACTGAGCCTGTTGGGCCTGAACACCTCCCTCTGCAACTGGATCCTGGACTTCCTGACTGGAAGGCCTCAGTCAGTACGGATTGGGAACTGCACCTCCAGCACCACCACACTGAGCACGGGGGCCCCACAAGGCTGTGTGCTCAGTCCTCTGCTGTTCACACTGCTGACTCATGACTGTGTAGCAACACACAGTTCAAATCATATCATTAAGTACGCTGATGACACAACCGTGGTGGGTCTCATTAGCAAGAACGACGAGTCAGCGTACAGAGAGGAAGTGCAGAGGCTAACGAACTGGTGTAAGGACAACAACCTGTCTCTGAATGTTGACAAGACAAAAGAGATGGTTGTTGACTTTAGGAGGATACGACATGACCACTCACCGCTGAGCATCAACGGCTCCTCTGTAGAGATCGTCAGTGTTATCAAATTCCTGGGAGTTCACCTGGACAAAGACCTCAGCTGGTCCCTCAACAACAGCTTCTTGCTCAAGAAAGCCCAACAGCGTCTCTTCTTTCTGAGAAGACTGAGAAAGGCCCAGCTTCCCCCACTGATCCTGACCACCTTCTATAGAGGAACTATTGAAAGCATCCTGAGCAGCTGTATCACTGCCTGGTTTGGTAACTGTGCAATCTCTGACCGCAAGACACTACAGCGGATAGTGGGAACATTAGAGAAGATCATCAGAGTCTCTCTCCCCTCAATTAAGGACATCTACTCTACACGCTGCATCCGCAAAGCCACCAGCATTGTGGCTGATTGGTCACACCCCTTTCACACACTCTTCACACTCCTTCCATCTGGAAGAAGGTACCGAAGCATTTGGGCACACACATCCAGACTGTGCAACAGCTTCTTTCCACAAGCCATTCGTCTCCTCAACATAAAGGGACTGGACTGATAAACGCGCGCATGCGCACATGCTCACACACACACACACACGCACGCAAACACACACACACACACACACACACACTCTCATGTTTTTCTTTGCATGTTTTTTTTATGATTCTTTACCACCTACATACTAAGTATGTTTACGGTTTTCTTTTTTCCTTTGTACTACCTACTTAAAGAGGACATGTCATGTTAGGTCAGTCTGTTCTGTCCTTAGTTTAGTGATCTCCCTGTTATTTTTATGCTGTAAATGTATGTTGCATGTAGCGCCTTGGTCCTGGAGGAACGTTGTTTCGCCTCACTGTGTACAAACCGTATATGGCTGAAGTGACAATTAATTCTAACTGATTGATTGATTGATTGAGGTAATTGGTTCAAGTTTTCTTATTTGTGACTAATTTATCTTATGTTACGGGCTGAGAGCTGAAGGTGGTGGCTGGTGGTCCATCTTCATGTGTGTGTAAGGATTCTTTCACTCCTGAATGCATGGCCACGAGTACTTGGGCTACCTTTTGATTAAGTTATATTTTCTTTATTGAGATTCAACCTCCCAGTCATCCACTGGTAAACCTTAGCCTGGGTTTTAGTAGTTTTTAGTTTTCTAGCCATTTTAATGAAATAATTAAATAATTACTAAAACTATTTAGTAATTATTTAATTCTTTCATTTAGGTCTTCTTTTGAATAATTATTTTTAAAAACTGTAAAATAACTTTTTGAACCACATCTCCTGCCTTCCTAGTACAGTGGACTTGTGTGTTCATTTAATGTAAATCTCATTGGGTTGTTTAATTTATTTCAAACTGTTGTAGGAATAGAGCTCCGGGAGTTGACGTCACTTCTCCCAGCATGCAACAGTTCAAATCGAAACGGCGCCATATTGGCATGCAGAAGCCGGCAGCTGGACTATTTGTTATTGTCAGAAAACTCAATCAAACAGGAAATATGGTAGATTCCTGTTGTGCCCCAGGATGTAGAACAGACGCGGACGACATAAGGAATGAGCCTTCTACAGGATTCCCCAAGATCCGGAGCGTCGCAAACGTTGGATCATTGTAATAAAACGCGCTAGTGACCGGGCTAAAATGAAGCTGTGGGATCCAGAGAGTAAAGGTTTTCGCTTATGCAGCGACCGCTTCATATCAGGTACTTAAACCAACGTTTCCTCAACTGTGTATGGTATTTATTTTAAATGCTTTTATTACGATTCTTAGTGGGCTTCCTAAACTTATTTTGGCGTGGCTTTTTCTGTCTTATTACTCATAGCAACAAGTAAACATCACGTAAAACGTTGCCTCGTGAGTTCTGCGTGCTGCCGGTTACGTGTTTTATGATCACAGCAATTAACCGGCTAAGCTGTATTTCATTTTTAAGCAATGGTTGATCAATTGTCAGATCACACATAAAAAGCAATTTGGATTGCTATTTCTGTCTCACAGAGACTACTTACGTGTAAATCTGTTATTTGTCCGTCCATCCATCCATTTTCATCCGCGTATCCGGAGTCGGGTTGCGGGGGCAGTAGCGTGACTTCCCTCTCCCCAGCCGCCGGAGCCAGCTCCTCCGGGTAAATCCCAAGGGGTTCCCCGGTCAGGTCCGGTGTTGTGCCGGTAAGAAGCCCGCTCTGACAGCTTCTGGCGTCGGAGCGGGCAGTAGAGTCGAGAGTCCCAGACCTTCTCCCCAGCTCCTCCGGCCGGGGGAATCCCAAGGGGTTTCCCCGGCCAGGTCCGGTGTTGTGCCGGTAAGAAGTCCGCTACGACAGCTTCTGGCGTTTTTAAAAAGTATCCCAGGGGCACGGTAAGGGTCGGAGATGTTTAGTCTATTTAATTTCTGACTATATAAAACGATTTCTTCTGTTTTAAAGTGTGAAGTAAACTCCGACGAAGTAAAATCCAAGCGGATCCCGTTCATGTTCATGGTTACATCCGTGTTTGTTTACCTTTTTTGCATGCCAAAATGGCGTCCACTAACTGAGAGTCACGTGGGGTCCGGAGCTCTATAGCATACTTATGTGTTTTGGGTGCTTTTAAAGCTCAGTATACTACACTACATTTGACCAATAAGATATGAATTTCTATATAAATATGGAAATCCAATCTGATTGGTCTTTGAATGTTTAACCAGAAGATTTAGAATTCTTTGTTTAGTCAGGGATCGTAAGACACTTCGTATGAATTCAGACAGTCAAGTTTATAAAAAATAAGAAATTTACTTTCTAAACTATTAAAAACATGACAACTATATGGTGTCAGAGGCGTGCCACAACCCGTGCACGCGGATTCGGTCCACATCGCGCGTGTGAACGGGACTCGCGAGTGAAAATATACATAGCGAGAGGTCATTTGTGCACTGAGAGGGAGCAAACTGTGTCTGTGAGCGCACAAGGACGTGCACAAGTGACAAACCTGCGTGCGCACGTTGCCAACGAGCACACGGCAGAGGAAAACGTGCGCGTGCGGCAGCCTCTCTGCGCGCTCGGTTTCTGACTCTGCTTGCTCGGCTGTGAAGGGGTTTTGGCACTCTGGAGGCGTGGCCTGTGGCAGATCTTCTCTGTCCTCTGATTGGTTAGTTTACCCCGCACTGTACCCTCTACCTATCTATATAAAAGAATCTGGTATTCAGTAGTTGCTGTCTTAGCTCAGCTGGGAGAGCGGGTGACTCTCCCCCTGGAGGATCCAGGTTCGAGTCCAGGCAAGGCAAATAGAGTAGATGTTGTGTTATTCTTTCCTAATTCCTGTGATATTATTTTACAGTTGTGACCGTTCAACTGTCATTAAACGTCCGAATGTTTGCTGGGCAGTGTTTTAAAAAGTGCACATAAGCTAGATGGTTTTAACCATATAAAATTATATTTTTTGTGATACTGGAAAAATACATACTGAAATAAAACTACTGATTGAAAACTTTATGACTGTGGTTGTACAATATATGAGTCACAATGAAAATGAATAAAAACCAGTCTTGGATAGGAGTGAGCTTGCGAGGAACCTTGGCCAAGCAACAGTATCTTTCTTGCAGATTGAAACCACCAGTTAAGACTTATGTCTCCATATGGCCAGATACTGAAGAGGTCAGACTGTAGATGAAAAACTGACCATTCCTGGAGGCTACACAGTTCTTACTTGAACAGTATAAAAATATCTCATCCTGCTGCTTTAATGTTTTTGTGTCTGTGTTTGTAGGTGTTCAGCAAATGGTGAAGCAGCCAGCTCCTGAAGAACTGAGGCCTCTTTTGAACCAGAAGGACATGGAGCCCCTCAACATGAAGCAGGAAGAGGAGGAGCAGCTTGATGAGATTAAAACTGATGCCACCAACATTTCATTCTCTGCAGATTCTCGTCAGTTTAAGGAAGAAGGAAGAGAAGTTCTGTTGTCACAGTTTGATCAGAACCAACCTAAAGATGGAGATCTTCCAACCAGCAGCACCACTGACCAGATGAAAGCAGAAAGTGGTAGAGAGGACTATGGAGGAGCAAAACGTACCAGGAATCTAGATCCAAAACTTTATAAAGATGATTCCAACTCTTCAGAGACTGAAGTCAGCGAAGATGAAGATGATGACCAGGATGGCAACAATTCTGACTGTCAGCTAAAGCCTTTTGCATGTAAGCTCTGTGGGAAACGATTTAGTGTGAAGTCAACTTTAACAAGACACAAGAGTATCCACACAGGACAGAAGCCTTTTGCCTGTGAGCTCTGTGGGAAAAGATTTTCCCAAAAGGGAAGCTCGAAGAGACACATGGGAGTCCACACAAGACAGAAGCCTTTTGCTTGTGAGCTCTGTGGACAAGGATTTACTCATAAGGCAGGTTTAAACACTCACATGAGAGTCCACACAGAACAGAAGTCTTTTGCTTGTGAGCACTGTGGGCAAAAATATAAACATAAGAGAAATTATGACAGACACAAAAAAGTCCACACAGGACAGGATATATGTGCTTGTGAGCTCTGTGGACAAAGATTTGTTCGAATGGAACATTTAGACAGACACATGAGTGTCCATACAGGACAGAAGCCTTTTGTTTGTGAGCTCTGTGGACAAAGATTTATCCGAAAGGACCATTTAGACGTTCACATGAGAACCCACACAGGACAGAAGCCTTTTGTTTGTGAGCTCTGTGGACAAAGATTCACTCAAAAGGTAAATTTATGTACACACATGAGAGTCCACACAGGACAGAAGCCTTTGCCTGTGAGCTCTGTGGACAGAGATTTAGTGTAAAGTCAAGTTTAAACAGTCACATGAGAGTCCACACAACACACAAAGCATCAGTTTAACTCCAATGATTATTATGCCCTATAGGTTAAAAAAAAAATTGTACGTCGCTTTGGATAAAAGCGTCTGCGAAATGAATAAACATAAACATTATTGTAATTCTTACATCTTTAATGTTTAGTTTAGTTGTTTAGTCAGTGGTTTCAGGTTTGGTTGGTCAGCACAGTCCTCCCAGACCTCCTCCAAGTCAAACTGTCCCATATGAACGTGCCTGACCCAATTCTGACGGACAGGAAGCAGAAAATGAGGCTGGGGAAGAATGTCTCTGACCTGCAGACCATCAGCACCAGTTCTCCTCAGGGCTGTGTTCTCTCCTCTCTGCTCTTCTTCCTGTACACCAACGGCTGCACTCCAACCACGAGTCTGTCAAGCTTGTCACGTTTGCGGACAACCCCACCGTCATCGGGGATGAGTCTGCCTACAGAAGGAGGTGGAACGGCTGGTGTCCTGGTGCAGCCACAACAACCTGGTGCTAAACACCCAGTCCACGATGGTGGACTCTTGTCACTTCCTGGGAGCCACCATCACCCAGGACCTTAAGTTGGAGCCCACCATCACCTCCATCGTAAAAAGGCCCTGCAGAGGATGAACTTCCCAAGGCAGCTGAAGAAATTAAACCTGTCAGTACAGTCGATGAGGCGGTTCTACACCGCAGTCATCGAGTCCATCCTCACCTCTTCCATCACCGCTGGAGCCACCATCAGGGACAAGAGGAGACTGCAGCGTGGCGTCCGCTCTGCTGAGAAGGTCATTGGCTGCCAACTCCCCTCCATACAGGACCTGTACACCTCTGGGACATTGAAGCGTGCAGATGGGATAACAGCTGACCCGTCTCACCCTGGACACAGTCTCTTCGACTTGCTCCCATCTGGCAGGCGGTTCCGAGAGATTTGGATCAGAACCTCTCGCCACAAAAACAGTTTATTCCCCTCTGCGGTCAGACTCAGGAATGCCAATCGTAGACCTGCCCACTCCAGATTGTTTCACCTCATGCCCCTCGTATGCCAGTTTAAACAAGGTCTGACTGTAACTACTTTCTAGCATTCTTGAGAATAAAATCAGAAAAATCAGGGCAAGTTTTCACACCCCCATCTACACCCTACCCCCATCCAACCCACTCCTCTCAATCATGGTCCTTCTTTACTCCTGTAGATTTCCAGGACATTTGCCTCAGTCAGAAACACATGAAACCAACCTCATGCCCTGTTGATTTCCATCCTACTACCTTATTCATCAGGATGGTTTGACCAGACTGACCATGCATTGTAAATTTTATTATTTGATCCCTAAAATGCTGCTCTTGTAACGTGTCGGTGGAGCATTCCACCGAAGGTTATTTACCCTCTCTCCACAGATGCCTCTGACACAGAACTAAGCTGCAGGAGTCTGCCTCAAGGTGCATGGCATTGCTCTAAACTGCTTCTTCACCCAGGAGACACAGAGCGTAAATGACATAGTGATGATTTGTTGTAATTTGGTAATAAGTACGGGGTTGGATCTAGCTACTACAGACTTGTCTGATCAGCACGTATGTATGGGTCTGGATTGTTGTGTGGGGTAGTGAGGGGTTGGTCTTGGGGAGGTGGATGTGGGGTGATGTAGGTTGTGGTAGGGTTGAGTGAGTACTACGTGTACTGGAGGACGATATAGGTTGGGTTTTTGGGGAGGGTGGTGGGGGGGCTTGAGCGAGAGGGGAAAGGGAGAGGGGCGAGGAGAGGGGGGGGGAGGGGGGAGAGGGTGGCGGGGGGGAGGGCGAGGAGGGGGGGGGACTGAGCGGGGGGGTGGGGTAGGAGGGGGGGGGGAAGGGGGAGGGGGGGGGGGGGGGAAGGGGAGTGGGGAGCGTGGGGGGGAGGGAGGTGGGCGGGCAGGAGCGGGGAGGAGAGGGGGGGAGGGGGGGGGACGGGGGGAGAGGGGGGGGGAGAGGGGCGGGGCCGGGGTGAGGTGGGGGAGGAGGGGGGGGGAGGAGGGGGAGGAAGGGGAGGAGGGAGGGGGGGGGGGGGGGGCCGGGGGGGAGAGGGGTAGTGGGGGAGAGGAGGTGGGGGGAAGGGGGGGAGGGGAGAGGGAGGGGGAGGGGCGGGAGGGGAAGGGGGGGAGGCGGTAGGGGGGGGAACGAGGGGGCGGGGGGGGCGGGGGGGGTGGGGGGAGGGGGGGGGGGAGGGGTGGAGGGCGGGTGGAGGGGGGTGGGGGGGGGGGGAGGGTCGGCGGGGGGGAGGGCGAGGGGGGGAAAGGCAGGGAGAGGAGGGTGGGGGGAGGGGTGGGGGGGGGAGGAGAGGGGGGAGAGGGGCGGGGAAGGCGGGGAAGGTGTGGGGGGGCGGGGGGGGAGGAGGGGGGGTGGGG